TCTATCCATCCATCCATCCATCCATCCATCCATCCATCCATCCATCCATCCATCCATCCATCCATCCATCCATCCATCCATCCATCCATCCATCCATCCATCCATCCATCCATCCATCCGTCCGTCCGTCCGTCAGTCAGTTCCACCCTCCTCCCCAGTTGTAAAGAGCTTGTGAAATCTAAAGCACTGTATCTTAAAGCATTACTTTTACAGAATATTTTTTAATGAAAGTTTGAAAATGCAAGGCAAAGAAGCTGCTTTATACCCTTGATCCATCTAGCTGAGTATTTTCTACCTTGGTCGTGATTCTCCAGTATTCCGGACCCAATTTGGAAATAATTCGTTAAACATAAATTTATTATCCTGATTTGTTCTTCAGCAACTAATTTTAAATCTGTCATTTAAGTATCAAGTGTCCAAGAGACACTTTATTCAACATTTCTCCTTAATTTTACGGTCACTTTCAGAGGTTATTTTGAAGATGAAGTGGATTAATCAACATATCAACTAGTGAATTACATAGTTTAAGATTTCAAGATCAGAACTTAGAATTCCTTTAAGATTTAACATCTAATGCAAAATTTACTTTCAGAAGGAAGAGATTTTTCTTTCCAGCATTACCTAAAGATGCTAGCTATTGAACCTGGGATATTTTCTATACAAAGCATGCACTATGTCATTCCACTACGGCCCTTGTATCTTTAAACGAGACAGCCGTTACCTCCACTGAAGCTCAACACGACAGCAGCTTTGAGAACGGATATGTGATATAGCTCCATATGCTCAAACGAGAAACAAACACACAGCAGAGATATGAGACCACATAAACAAGCCATCAAGAGGAAGCCTCGGGTGACATGGATATGAAGGGCTGCAATCCAGAGAAGAAAACATTATGTAGAACAAAGATGGGTGAATTGTGCCTTGGGAGGAAAAAGGGGTACCCACTGCTATTTTTGAAGAGGCCCCCCATATTTCCAAGCAATTTTTTTCTATTGGGAGGAAGGTGACTTGCCAGAATCAATAATTCAAAATAAGTGACACTGAGGTCATTTCTCAAAACTAGAACTAATTTTCTGTCCATTTGTTTTTTTTCTGCTTCTGTTATTTGTTTGTTTCCCTTTCTGTCGGGAGAGTAGCTACAAATTCCCCAGGGGTCTACCCCTTTCTCATTAACTAGCCCCCAAAGTCTCAATAACTCACTCTGAAATTTGTAGGAGAAAGAATTTTGAAAACCACATTTCTTTACTTAGAATTGCTTGAAATTACAGAGTTGTGTAGGCTGCTTTCTTTACTGCACACGTATTTAGGAAACAACTGAACAGATCAACAGCAAACGAAACAACTGCAGCCAATGTAGAAAAGAGAGGGAAAGAGCACTCAGCAGATAGGCAAGGTTCTCTTTCAATTCAAAAGGCTGGAGGGAATGACTGGCTGGTGCAGGATACAACCACCCCAAACCAGAAAAGCCTCTCCCAGCTACGCAAACTATGGATAGCATGCAAGATTGCAAACCAAAGTCCAACATTACCATCTAGACCTGTGTTTATATCCATATACCAGACTTCAGAAGAAAAATGGGGCTAAAATTCTTCCAAGTATGCATAGCAACACGGGACGACAGTAGCATGAAAGATCTTACCCAGTAAATTAAACTGGTACATGGTGCAGTTTGGGTTGATGCAGATCTTCCAGAGGCCACTGTGGACAAGACCTTTCTGGGTAGATTCCAACACCCAGTAGGAGGTGCTCAGAGATGTGAATTGGACCAGAAGACTTCCAGCACAGCAAAGCCCACTGCAGATACGCAAGGGGTAAGACATGAACGTCAGCTGTTGTGAGGCCTCCATGCTGAAGTCTGACCTCAGGCTGATGGTGGTAGAAGGACCCCTGGAAAGATGAGGGACATTTTTTTATCATCCTTCATAGAGACTGGAACTATTTTGGGCTACAGCTCCCAGATTCCTCTCCCTCATGCCAGCCAAGATGGCTAGCTGGAAAAGATAGTACAAGCCCTGATGCCTGTCCGTCTGAAGAAAAGGTAAAGGTTCCCCTTGACAATTTTTGTCCAGTCGTGTTTGACTCTAGGGGGCGGTGCTCACCCCCGTTTCCAAGCCATAGAGCCAGCGTTTTGTCCGAAGACAATCTTTCCATGATCACATGGCCAGTGCGACTTAGACACGGAACGCTGTTACCTTCCCACCAAGGTGGTCCCTATTTATCTACTCGCATTTGCATGCTTTCGAACCGCTAGGTTGGCGGGAGCTGGGACAAGCGACAGGTGCTCACTCCATCACGTGGATTCGATCTTACGACTGCTGGTCTTCTGACCCTGCAGCATAGGCTTCTGCGGTTTAGCCCGCAGCGCCACCACGTCCCTTTTAAGGAACAGTTAATGAGTTCAATTATCTGTCTCAGTCAGAACTCCTCAGCACAAACATAGAAGCCTTCAGAGATGCAAGAGATGAATTTTTATTTATTTATTAATTTATTTATTTATTTGACTTATATGCCACCCACACTACCCGAAGGTTTCTGGGCGGCTTACAACATTTAAAATACAATGTTCGCTTATGCTGGGCCTCAGAGAGCCATACTATCTTCCACATCCCATTAATCTCCTCTCCAGTGTTTGCTTTTATGCCCTTTATAAGCCATTTTTAAAAGAAAATACATTAGGACCCCTGTATCTGAGGGCAATTGGTTCCAAATCTCCCCCCACCCGCGTGCAGATGCCGAAACAGCAGATAATAGCGAGCTGTATTTAGTACGGTATCTGGCTCCCTCTATTGGCCAGTTCTAGTAACTATATTGCAAATATATATATTTCTGAGGGGGGGAGGTTCTTAATATTTTTATTATTTTTAGGCCGCAGAATAATTGAAACCGTGGGCACTGATCTCATGGATACAGAAGTTCTACTGTAAATGGCTTTGGAGGGATGTCTACTTGATGGACCTTACAGGAGGAAACAATGGCCTCCCAGGGCCTCCTAGAGGTTATGACGGACATTTATGAGGGAAAAAATAATTTATTTATAATAATATTTGGCAAGTAGAATTGTTGGGGAACTCATTTCAGCCTCCCCTGAAACTACTTGTGACCCTCAGTCCACACCTTGCCTAGCCATGGATTAAGAGTTGACAACCCACACATTTCCCATTTCATTGTCTTTCCCCCACCGCACCAGCCCACACACCAAAAACATTAGATCATTTCCCAGGTTTACCCATTGATAATACATCAAGAGCTTCAAGGTAAAGAAAGTTACAGGTGACATTTTGCACACATGCAGGAAAGCTGGGCAGCTCTTGGGATGGTGACGGTCTGCTGAGGTGTTCTCCATTTTGTTGGGGCACCCCAAAGTCTAACCCGAAGTCAATGATTTTGTTATAGTATCTCTGGATTCAGCTATCCTCTCTGCCTTTAGGACAGGAGAGGGCAAAGTAAAGCCTGGCAAGTATGGTTGGACTACAATTCCTATCAGCCCTAGCCAGGAGAGCCGATGGTGAGGAATGCTGGGGATTGCAGCCCAATAGTATCTAGAGAGCTCAGCTTTTCCTCTTGAGAAGGTGATGCATCCCAAGTACAACACAGACCACACATCTATGTGGGTGTGTGTGTGTGTGTGTGTGTGTGTGTGTGTGTGTGTGTGTGTGTGTGGTGTGTGTGTGTGTGCGTGCGTGCGTGCATGCGCACGCGCACACACACACATGAAGGTAAAGGAACACTGGGGTCACAAGGGCAAACCACACATCTATGTGGATGTGTGTGTGTGCACACACACACACATGCACACATGAAGGTAAAGGAACACTGGGGCCACAAGGACACGCAGGATAACATTCCTTGAAATTTTACAGCCAAAACTGGAGACCAAGGACAGACCTTTTTGCTGACATGAAGGGCCTCATGGTGCAGTGATTAAACTGCTGTATTGCAGCTAAAACTGTGCTCATGACCTGGGGTTCAATCCCAGGTAGCCAGCTCAAGGTTCACTCAGCCTTCTATCCTTCCTTACAGACTTCTTTGGCTGCAAAATTTAGATTCAACTTGCAGCTGGAGAATCGACTTACAGACCGGAAAAAACCCAAAATGGAACAAAAATAGAATAAAAACCGCCAGTTATGGGATTAATCGGTTTTCAATGCATTGTAGGTCAATGGAGATTCGACCTACAGACTTTTCGACTTGCAGCCACCATTCCAATACAGATTAATTCCGTAAGTAGAGGGTCCACTGTATAAGCAGCACACTTTGCTTTGCTTTTGGGTCAAAGGTAGGGAAGAATATATTTTTTCCAGGTTCTGTACCACTGCTGGCAGCTCTTGTCCAACAAGAAGGCTCAGGAACCATGAGGCTGGTGCTCCACTCCTTGCTTTGCTCCAGAAGGCACAATGAGCCGCGCCTTGGTGTGCTGAAAGGCCAGGATGAGGAGAAAGTCCTGGAGAGAAGGCTTTATGGATCCAGGCACTTGGGCTCATTGTGCCAACCTGAAGCCACACATAAGCACGTTGACCTTGTGAGCCCTGTGGTGCCAGCTGGGGAAAACAGGCAATTTGGGTGCCCAACTCACTGAGAAAAATCATGGAACTAATAAGAGTCCAGTTGCCATGGGAGTGCCTGGGCGCCAGCTCTCTCAAGGGGCAGGAGCCTGGGCATTAAAAGGTGGAATCCAGCACATGGGCAGATTTGATGGAATAGAGATGTGATTTACAGACACATGGAATAAACAGGGAATGGCATCTGTTAGGATTAGGGCAACTGGACTTAGGTGTACCCGGCAAATCCAAGGAAAAACCCATGAACATGAGGGTAGGGGCTTTTGGTCCCCTTGTGGTAACACCACAACCCCTCACACAGTCTTGGGATTTCTCCTGGGACTGCAACTCCACCACACCCCCTCCAAAAATAGGTTCTTCCTCATCCACACCTTTCTGCATTTTGGAGAGGCATCTTTGACAAAGGGGCGAAGGTGAAGCCGCCGGGACCTCTTCAGAAATAGGAGCTGGTTGTCCTGCCTACTTCTGGGTGGTGTAAATTCTGGCCAATCATCTTCTTAGGAACCTGCCTTCCGCACGTTTTCTGACCAATCAGATTTGCGCGGCCAAACAATGGGAAGAGTTGACATCCGCCATTTTAGAAGCATCCTCTACCATGCCAGGTATTCTGGCATTCTTACATGATTCCAACCTCAGTCCCATCCCTGATAAAGTAATGATGGCTTCTTTGTTTCCTCACACTTGCCCAATTGATTTTTTTTTTGGGGGGGGGAAATCTTCCTTGCTAGCATTCCCAATCTCCAACTGTGTCCTTAAAATAAGATTAAAGCATCTGAAAGAGAATTGATCCAGTATAGCCAGTTCCAGAACCTCCATGCATAAAAAACTATTTTGGAGGATTACAAATTGCAGAAACATTCTGCCCAAATGCCCATGGGGCATCCAGGCTCTGGGAGTCTGGGAAATGCTGTCGATAAAGGAGCTTTTCCAAACTCTGCTCCATCTGTTCCTCACTAGAGAAACATCCCCATGTTCTGGGTTCTGATTCTGATGGTGTTCCCATTTTTCCTTTCTTGAAAAGGGACTTTGTGGGCTAACATGTCTTCGGTAGCTTCCATGAAACAAATTAATGTAGAGGAAATTATTTCCTCCAGATTCCTGGCTGCTTACTTGTTGTACCCATGAAATGGAAATACCCCTCTCTCACACACAAATGAAGGAAACTTTTTTACTCAAAATTTCCATATGCTGATGTATTTGTCTAGAAGAAATGTTTAGAAAAAGCCAACATTCAATGTCAAAGAGGTTCAAAACCATGCAAGAGAATTTCCTCCACAGACCTTCTTGTGTACCTCTTACAAGTTGCCCCCAAAATAATGCCAAAGGGTTCTCCAGCTTTGCACAGGTTTTGGGAAGGGAAGGGGTGTCACAGGGAGGTCTGTAAAAGGAAGAGGGAATCGCCTCCCACATTATGTTCTGCTGATCACGGTCCTTATACCTTGTTCAGTACTTCTCCAATGAGAATTTTCTCCATCTTTTTACGGTGGCAGGAGGAAAATAGACAGTGATGAAGGCCCAGTGGGAAGAGCTTTCTCCCGAACAAGCTAGAGGAAGCAGGTATAATTTTTGGTGAACTCATTCCCAGCTGCAAAAACACTGCTGGTTTTCCTCAGCCAGTATTGTTCCTTATGGACCATCTTCTTTCTGCCCTGCTTCTTTCTGCCCTTCCTCACCTCATCCTTTGCTTCGCTTCAGCAACTAGATCTGAACACCTCTCGTGCATGATATTTTTAGCTGCTATTTCCAAGCTCCTGGATGAGCAATCCCTTAATTCACCACTTCCTCAAGGTTGCTTTCTGTTGGAACTAACTGCTGGCATGACCTGTGCTAAACTTTAGCAATGAAGTAAAGATTTTAAATACGTAGAGTGTAACCAACTGCTAGCTGGTGGTTGTACCTTTTAACATTTATTTTGCCTTGGCAAGACTCCAATACACTATAGTATTGGAACTATTCTCCAAAAATAAGTTCAAATCGATCTTAAGGGCATCTTGATGATGCAGTTTAGGGGCGAGAGGGTTATTGGTGTGATAGCTTTTAAGTTATACTCTGTAGCAAAAAGGAAGAAAGAAATGGTCTTTATCTAACAGGCTTGTCGACGAATTCTTCCAGATGCAGTAATTTCTTCTTCCTTTTCACATTCTTACTGGAATTACAGTGATGCCTCACTTAACAACGTTAATTCGTTCCAGCAAAATCGCTGTAGAGCAAAAACGTCGTAAAACAAAAATTAAAAAACCATTGAAACACATTAAAAGCCGGTTAATGCATTCCAATGGGCTAAAAACTCACCGTCCAGCGAAGATCCTCTATACAGCGGCCATTTTTGGTGCCTGTATAGTGAGGAATCCGTCCCTAAGCACAGCGGGGAGCCATTTTGAGCACCCGGTGGCCATTTTGAAAACCCGACAATCAGCTGTTTTGATCGTCGTAATGCGAAGAATCGGTTCCCGAAGCAGGGAACCGATCTTCGTAAAGCAAAAAAATCCAATTTAAAACATTGTTGTGAAGCGGATTCATCGTAATGCTGGATAATCGTTAAGTGGGGGCTAAATGGTAACTATCTAGTGCAAAAGTGCTTTAGCACTTGTCAACCCTCTTCAACACCTCTGCTGAAAGTTACAGTCAAGAAAGTTTTGCTTTACCGAGGAGGGAGGTTGTGGTGAAGATCTCTCTTCATAGCAACAGGACGACGGTCCAAGAGGGCAGAGCGGAGGCTGGCACAAAGGCCGGTGTGAGTGTGTGTGTGTGTTTTGTGCAGTGCTCAAGAGATGAGATAGTTTCCCCTATAGCAGGGGAAGTTTCTTCCCTTTAAAAAAAAAATCAAGAGAAGAAGCTTGGAGTTGGAGAGGAAACAAAAGCTTCTGTGCTTCAGCATCGAGTTTAATTGTAGAACTGTTCCATAGCATTAAATTCCAGCTCCCTCCCCCCCAAAAAAACCCCATCAATCAATCAATCAATCAATCAATCAATCAATCAATCAGTCAGTCACTCAGTCAATCAGCCAACTAACCAAAGATTTTGAGAAGAAAAAGGTCTGGTAACTTGGGGATGGGATGGGGGACTGATACAAAGCAAGATAAAAGTCTTCTGGGAAAAATAAAATCAACAAATAACCTAGAACAGTTGGTAGAACCAATGTTGAATTTAAGAGGGACTTAAATAAGCAGAGATATGACAATTAACTTCTTAACTGCTAGAGCAGTGCAACAATGAACCAATTGCCTCAGCAGGTGGCGAGTCGTCCTCCACTGGAGATATTCAAGGAAAAATTGGAAAACCATCTGTCGGATCTGCTTTGATTTGGATTCTTGCACTGACTGGTGGTGTGTGGACTCAATAGCCTTATAGGCCCCTTCCAACTACATTCATTTATGATTCTATGATTTTATTTGGCAGCACTTTCTTCTATGAAAAGCTGTGCAGGTTCTGGCTATGCTCCTTTTGCCTTGTGCCGCTAGCAAGACGATGACGACGATATTGATGATTATGATTATGTGCTCCAGAGGTTCTAGGGCAGCTAAGATGGAAAGAGATGAAGCTGAGCAATGATAACCAATTGGGACAGAGTTATATCGCTTAGCCACTGGGCTGTTGATCAAAAGGTCAGCAGTTCAAATCTGCGTGACAGGGCGAACTCCCAAGGCCTGTCCCAGCTCCTGCCAATCAAGCAGTTTGAAAGCATGCAAATGTGAGTAGATGAATAGGTACCACCACAGTGGGAAGGTCACGGCGTTCCGTGTCTAGTCATGTTGGCCACATGACCATGGAAAGTGTCTACAGACAAATTCCAGCTCTTCAGCTTACAAACAGGGATGAGCACTGGCTCCTATAGTCAGACACAACTGGCCGTAATTGTCAAAGGGAACCTTTATCTTTACCTTTTGTTGTTGTTGTTTAGTCGTTAGATCGTATCTGACTCTTCGTGACCCCAT